TTGGTCCATGTACAGATTCCTCACGAGCAAAATTAAGTGTTCTAGAATACTCATAGTTCACAATGTAGTCCATAGCTTGTCATGATCCACACAATTGAAGTCCTTTGCATAGTCAATAAAGCACAGGTAAACATCTTTCTGATATTCTCTGCTTTCACCCAAGATCCATCGGACATCAGCAGTGATATCTGTTGTTCCACGGCCTCTTCTGAATCCAGATTGAACCTCTGGAAGTTCTCTGTCAATGTATACTTGCAGCCATTTCTGTATTACCGTTAGTAAGACTAAAGCATGGGATATCAAAGAGATTTTCCGATGATTTCCGCGTTCCCTTGGGTCACCTCTCTTTGGAATAGGCACAATTATGGATCTCTTCCAATTAGTCGGCCAGATCGTTGTCTTCCAAATTTTTTGGCAGAGGTGAGTGTCTCCTGTGCCGCCTCACGTTCTTGACAGATTTCAATTTTTATTCCATCAACTCCTGGTGCCTTGTTCTTTGCCAATTCCTTCAATGCACCCGGAACTTCCTCCTTCAGTATCATTGGCCCTTGATCATATGCTAATTCTTGAAATGGTTGAACAGTAACCATTTCCTTTTGGTACAGTGATTCTGTGTATCCCTTCCATCTTCTGTTGATGCTTTTTGCATCATTCAATAATTTGCCTAGAGAATCCTTCAATAACAAAAGTCAAGGCTTGAATTTTTTCTTCATTTCCCCCACCTTGAGAAATGCTGAGCGTGTTCTTCCTTTTTGGTATTCTGATTCCAGATCTTTGCACATTTTGTTGTAATATTTGGCTTTTATCTTCTCGAGCTGATCTTTGAAATTTTCTGTTCAGCTCTTGTACCTCTTCGTTTCTTCCATTTCTTTAGCATCTCTGTGCTGTAGAGCAAGTTTTAGTGTCTCTTCTGACATCCATTTTGATCTTTTCCTTCCTTATCTTCTTAATGAGTTTTTGCTTTCTTCTTGTATGATATTCTTGATGTCATCCGCAACTCTTCTGGTCTTCAGTCTTTAGTGTTTAATGTATCAAATGTGTTCTTCAGATCATCCCTAAATTCAGGTGGGATATATTCAAGTTCATATTTTGGTTCTCGTGGACTTGTTTTCATTTTCTTCAGCTTCAGTTTGAATTTTCATATGAGCAATTGATGGTCTGTCCCACAATCTGCCCCTGGCCTTGTTTTGACTGATGATATAGGGCATTTCCATTGTGTCTTTCTGCAGACGTGGTCAATTTGTTTTCTTTGTATTCCATCTCCTGAGGTCCATGTGTATAGTTATCTCTTCTGGTGTCTAAAGAAGGTATTTGAAATGAACAAATCATTCATTTTGCAGAATTCTATCATGCATTCTTCAGCATCATTTCTATCACCAAGGCCATATTTTCCAACCACTGATCCTTCCTCTTTGTTCCCAACCTTTGCATTCCAATCACCAGTAATGATCAATACATCTTGATTGCATGTTTTATCAATTTCAAATTGAAGAAATTGTTAGAATTCTTCTATTTCATCCTCACTGGCTTTAGGGGTTGGTGCGTAAATTTGAATAATAGTGGTATTAAGTGAGCCTCCCTGTGGGTGCATGGATATTATCCTATCACAGACAGTGTTGGTACCTCATGACTGATGGATATGTTCTTTCTGACAATGAAAGCAACACCATTCCTCTTCAGTTTGTCATTTTTGGCATAGTAAACCATGTGGTCATCAGATTCAAAATGGCCAATACCAGTCCATTTCAGCTCACTAATGCCTAGGATAACGATGTTTATGTGTTCCATTTCATTTTTTACAACTGTAATTCTTCCGGATTTATACTTCATACATTCCATGTCTCGATTTCCAATGGATATTTACAGCTGTTTCTCTTCATTTTGAGTTGTGCCCCATCAGCAAATGAAGATCCCAAGAGCTTTTCTCCCACTGGCTTTGCTCCGTTCACATCATCACGGTCAACTCTACTTTGAGGAGGCAGCTCTTCCCCAGTCGCAGTTGAGTGCCTTTCAATCTGATGGGCTCATTTTCCGGCACTATATCTGACAGTGTTTCTCTGCTATTCATAAGGTTTTCAGTGACTAAATATTTCGAAGTAGTTCATTACCACTTCTTCCTAGTCTGTCTTCATCTGGAAGTTTATCTGAAACCTGTCTACCATGCATGACCCTGCTGGTATTTAAAATATTGGTGGCATAGCTTTCAGAATCACAGCAATTCACAATCCACCACAGTACGACAAACTGACAGACGAGTGGTGGTTGGCATCCCTAAGAGAGTCAAATTATATACCTTTGAAATGTTCTAATTTTCAGACATGCATGTAAGAGCCATCTGACTTCCTTGAGCTTCATAAGGAGGAAAACAGAATCTAACTCAAAATCAGCCCAAAGTTGATTCCTATGAAGTAGACATGCTTCCAATACACCTTCTTTACCCAATTGTGACACCAACCTTTCCTCCCACAACACTACCTGCTTCGTATCTGGATTCAGTAATGCATTGCAATGGCCACATAGAACTCATAACAATACGATTATGGAGTTTACTAAGGAAATGAACTGAGTACAGTTCATGATCAGAGAAACTCAGGACACACCAGTTCTCCAGTCAAGAACACTTCACACTTCTCTCAGCCTTGTGGCCCCTACCCACTACTGTCCATAGGCCTAGAACCTATAGCTGCTCTCTTGATGCCATTGCCTCTGCTGTCACTGCTTTTCTAGGTAAGAATCTCATGCTTCACACATGCTCTTCCTTCTTGATGGTTCTGGGATTGCATGTTCCTGCTTCTGAGAATGCTCCTTTTAAACCTAGCCTCATGGCAAAGCTAACCAATCCCAGCTTAGAGTCGTCGTAAACACTTTGCATAGTCCCACCTAATCACTTGGTGAGAATTAGAAGACATTGGATAAAGCAACATGAGGGGGCTGTTGGGTGAATGGTTGAGGTTTCCCAATGAGGTCTCATAGGGCAGCCCTTGCTACCTTGGGAAAATTTCCTTAATGCAGCTATCTTGACCTTTTCCTCACCAGTGCAGTTTTCAGTTTTCTTAGAACTTCATAATAAGCCCCCATGTTCATTGAGAAAATCTATCAAGATAACTTCTTTGGAATCCCAAAAAACAGAGTCCTGATAAGGCACTTTGGGTTGATACACTGGACTGCAAGGTCAGCTTGAACCAAACGGTATGCAGTTCAAACTCCAAGGAAACGCTATATAGGGCCGCTATAAGTTGGGACAAACTTGACGGCACTTAACAACAACAATAAATTTCTAAGTTGTCTTCTTTCCCTTGAATTTAATTGGCCCAGCAGAGCCCCTTAGAAGCCACTATTTTTAATGGACTTTTTTTTTTTTTAATTGTAACAATGTACATACAACAAAGCAGTTTCAGCCATTTTCACTTGCACAGCTTTTTATTTTATTTTTTTAAGGCACCCTAAGGTAAGTGTATTACTGAAAGAAGTTGTCTGCAGAAACATGGTTGATGACATTTTGTTTAGAATAAACTCGTGAATGTATGAACTAGAACCCTAGTCACAAATTTTGTGACATTACGTATGTTAAGTGCCTTAGAGTAGGTCCCTACTCAGTGATCCTGTGTTGGGTTTTCTAAGAAGTGACTGGTAGGTTTGAACTGCTGATCTTATAGTTAGCAGTCTAGTGCTAATCCTATCAGGACTCCTTTATATATGTTGTTACTGTTAAATGCCTTTGAATTGTTTCTGACTCATAGCTACCCTCTCTAAGGTTTCTGAGGAGTGACTGATGGTTATCCTACAATGAACTACTGACCTTAGCAATCTGATGCTTATCCTACAATGCTTAGAGTCAACTAATGAAGGCATATGTGTGCAATATGTTCAATACATTTATTGGACTCTGAGTATGACATTGTGCTAGGTTCTGGCCCGGAATGCTCATATAGCGATATAAAATATATGTACACACATCCCTATTATACAGCAGAGAAGAGGAAGTTCTAACTCTACATGGTGGCATGTACACTACCTGGAAGCGGTGGCAGTGAGGAAAAGTTCCACAGGAGGATGTTACTTGGATCAAATAAGGGAGGTCTTTAGTTACTTGTTTGCACAATGAAATGAAAAATTTCTATGGTGTTGGGGAACTAGAAATTAGATAACATTGGGTGAAAGTGTGGGACTAGTTCATTCAGATAAGGTTGAAAAAATAAGCAAAGGTCTATTTTATAGTCAAAATTTCAAAATTATTTTAAGCAAGGATTTGCTTATAAAGTATTAAGTATGCGTTAGTATATTTTTTAAAACGAGTAAGCCCATTGCTTTGGAGCCATTCTGATTCAGGAATCCTGTAGGAAAGAAGAATTAGCCCCAAAGGGTTTCCGGTGCTGTGAATCTTTATGGAAGCTAACTGTAAAATCTTTCACCTGCGGATTAGCTGGTGCCCTCAGTTTACAACCACGCGCTTAATTGTTGCACTACCAGGAGTGTAAAATGTGTTTAAAAGTCAGCTACAAATTAAAAAAGTATAAATATATCTTTTCCGAAGGCTTTAGTGAGAAATAAATTGGTTACAAATGCCATGTTACCAAAACCTATGTAAAGTGTCAGTAAATCTTATGTCGGCGGGAAACGAAAAAAGACTAGAGGGGAAAATGACTCCTTTCACCAAACCTCTGTAGTTCTTGCTTTTCTGTAGCTGCAGGCGAGACGTACTGAGCTTGCGCGGGGCGGGGCCGAAGGTGACGCGTTGTGTGCCGCAAAGTATTGTGGGGAGTTCCGGCCCACTAGTGAGGTGGTGGTAGGTTAGGTGGGGGCGGCCGTTTGTTTTCTCGCCATCTCCAACAGAACTCGCGCGCTCTCTTCCCCTCCCCCAACGAGTGGCGGGGTGCCTTAACGGCAGTGGCGGTGGCAGCACAAGCTGTAGCAGCGAACACTCCTCTCTTTCCTTTTCCACGAACCGGTTCCTCTTCCCTCACCCTCTCACTGTTTGTTGTGTGTTTAATGTGTTAAAGCAGGAGCGAGAAAGCGAGCAGCGCCATGAGCAACACCACCGTCGTCCCCAGCACGGCGGGCCCGGGCCCCAGCGGCGGGCCCGGTGGCGGAGGTGGTGGCGGTGGAGGCGGCGGCACCGAGGTAATCCAGGTGACTAATGTCTCCCCGAGCGCCAGTTCTGAGCAGATGCGAACCCTCTTCGGTTTCCTAGGCAAGATCGACGAATTGCGCCTCTTCCCGCCAGAGTGAGTATCGCCCACCATCACCGTTTTGCTAAAGTCTCCCTAGGCTGGGCCTAAACCCCACCATTTCCCTAGGCCCTCTGCGCAGCTTTGCTGCGCCTTGCAGCTGGCGGTGCCTTCACTGTCGGCGATCTGCCTCTTAGGCCTGTAAGGAACTGAAAGGGGCAGAGCGAACAAGGGCTTTGACTTTTCAGCTTTTGGCTCTTGATCTGGGTAAAAATTTTCCCCCTCAAAATTGTGCTGATGTGGTCCTTTTACTTGTGCACGGAACGTCAGAGTAATCGCACTTTATATATAAAGTATCTTCGAAAGAAAGGTAACAAATTATCCATCCCTGTTGATTTGGTGTTAAACTTCTTAGACGGAGGTTCACTTGTTACTTTGATTCTGGCCCAGGGAATATAATTCAAACAGACTCTAATTCGAAGAAGCTTAATTTTATAATAACATGGATTTTTCCTTTGTTTAAATAATGTACCGGTTTATGTTATTTCACGATGTTTTTGAGAAGGAATTTTATAGAATGCTTAGTATGGTTTCTGTCACCTTAAATTTCCTCTCACCTTAAAATTATTTTTGTCACAAAATTATTAAACGAGTAAATTACTTTTTAAGGGAAAAGCTATAAAAAAAATGTGAAAACTTTTGGTAATAAACAGAATTCTGAGTAGTTTTCATGAGTGAATTCCAACTGGATGGCAACTGATTTGTTTACACACTATGTTGAAAGTTCTGTGATGTTACTTAAGTATGAAACAGGAAATTGAGATCCTCAAGAAACTACCTTTAGTGGAGATGGTGGTGTTAGTGACTTCGGTCAATTCCGACCCATAGCAACCCTATATAGGGTTCCCAAGGAGAAGCTGGTGAGCTTGAACCACCGACCTTGCAGTTCAAACGACTTTGCAGTCATGGAGGTACATGTAATCATTAGTGTGTTATACTAAAAAGTTGGTCAGAATGAATTGTTTGATAAAACATTTACCATATTTTCATCTAAAATACTTTTGTGGTTGTTAAGTGCTGTCGAGTCTGTTCCTACCCATAGTGATCCATGTTGGGTTTCTGAGGAGCTGCTGGTGAGCTTGAACCACCGTCTTTGAGGATCAAACCAGCTTAGCAGTCCAGTGCACTAACCCACAGTGCCATACCAGGACACCAATCTAAAATACTGTTGCTGTTGGTTTTGTACCTGGAGCTGATGTTAACTCATAGTGACCCTGTATAGGGTTTACTGAATCAGAAAGCCTCATCTTTCTCCTGCAGAGTGGTTGGTGGTTTTGAACTGCTGATCGTGAGGTTAGCAGCTGTACTTGTAACCACTAACCAGAGAGCTCCTTGAAGAAGGTGTTATATGAGCTGAGACTTGAAGTGAAAGGTACAAGCTATTTTGAATTTCTAGGGTACAAGGATTCCAGAGAAAATAGCAAATTAGAAAAGCACTGAGTGCAAGAACAACTTTAACATTTTAAATAAGTAGTAAGAAGATCACTGTTTGTTGAATGGATGGTGTCCAGTTGATAATTTGGAGAAATTGGTTTGCATTGGGATACAGCTTCCTCATACTATCTGTGTCTAGTGTAGAGTTCTAGGAATGTCAGGCCTACATGGTTTTATTTTGAACAGAAATAAGGGGTCTTCAAAGAGTTCTTGGAAAAATGGAGTTAAAAGGTAATGGAGTATTTCCAACAACTTTTTGAAGTCCCCCTCCATATGACTTGGCTCTTGTAATTAAGGACAAATAACTTGCAAAATGTAGGCCTATGAAAATCAATGCTTTGCATCAGTTTTCCTACAAAATACCCTTGTATTAAGTTGTAAATTTGATACAGTAAAACAACAGAAAAGGAGAGCAGGACATTTGATGATTATGGTAATTTTTACTACCCTGTTTGAGAGATTAGATTTATTTATGACATAATTCTTTCAAATCTCACATATTGGGGTTTTTATTCTAGTTGCTGACTTTGGTGCTTTGAAGATATTATTTTTATGATGCATTTATAAATATATCAGGTCTTCCTGCTCAGAGTGACCCTGTATGGGATTTCCAAGGAGCAGCTGCTGGGTTTGAACCACTGACATTGTGATTAACAAGCCACACCCGGATTCCTGGAGGTCAAAAAAGGTCCAATTACATAAAATCCTGTTTTCAACACATTTGCCTCCTGATTTTTTGTTTTCTTCAAAAGAAATTCCTGTTCATCTGGAATAATCCTTCACCCTCCCACCCCGTAAGATAGCTGCATGATAATGCCTGTATCTTTCTGTTGCTCAAATGTCACCTTAATTAGAGCTTTACCTAGGCACCCTTTATAAAAATGAAACACCGTTGCTTTCTGCCTTCACTGATTTACCTATATTGCTTTGTATTTCTCTGTAGTGTACCTGCACTAACTGATAAGACAACCTAAGTTTAGTGTATTGACATAAATTCAGTATATCAATACTGAGCCCCACCTATATCTTAATATATCTTGAGTCATTTCTAATAATGCATTTGGAAGGAAAAATTCATTGTTATGCCATACATTTCAGTAGCAATATGCTCAAGAAGATTCCCTCCTTTGTTTCATTGAATTCATCTATTTCTTGGTTCTTTTAAGTAAAAATCTGGTAATAATTATGCCCAGTGATGTAAGGTACTGTCTGTCTTCACAATAGATAATAGATCTAACTTCGTTTTCAGTTTGAAAGCTGCTTACAGTGCCCTTCTCTGGCCCCCACATTTATTTTTCTTGTTTAGAAACAAGAACAATTTTTGTTGTTTTGGTTCTTAAAATACATATTAGAAGTCAGTATTGCTGTCTATATATGAGACAATTTTCTTATTTTATCCACTCTTTACAATCTAAAGTAAGAATATATTTCAGGTGGGTGGTTTTGTGTGCCCAAGCCACGTTATCAGTAAGCATTAGATTGAACCCTAGTGTTGTGACCCTCTTATCTTTTACCATTTGTGCTTTTAAATTTAGCAAAACAATTTGAAGCATCATGCTTTAAGTTAGTAAGTATTCTTCAAATGCTTGTTTTTAGTGGAATTTCAGATTGGAGGCTGTAAGTGGAGTGTTTATCAAGTATGATTCCAACAAAGCATGTGTTAAAGTTATGCATTAACTAAAAGCTACTGAAGGAGTATTAATAAAGTTAAATTCACTAGTAACTTCTCAGTGATGAAAAAGATACTTTGATGATCACATGTATAAATAAGTTAATATTGTTAGGAAAGAGAACTCAGTCTTTTTATTTATTTTTTAAATGAATGCAACATTTACTATAATGTATTTACAACTGTGAATAATAAAGGGAACACAATGAAAGAAAACATGTGAAGTAAGCAGAGTCAAATTTCAGTGAAAGCTACCTTTATCACACACCTGTTTACTTGGGTTTAGGAGATATACCTAGTTAAAAGCTCACAATGATCAGAAATGATTAGCACATTAGTATTAAGATGGGAGCTGAAAGTGGTAAATTGGTGGCCTAAACCATAGATTGACATGATCATGTCAATCAGCTGAGAGTCTTGTTAGGAATCAGGGCCCTCCTTCTATAAAAGGGTGCTGATTCAGTAGGCTTGACGTGGACAAAGGACACTTAAGAAACATTGAAAACATTTTCAGTAGAGTACAGAGGTGTCATTTGAGGGGTCACTTTTCCCTATTCTACTCATCAGTTATTTTCAACTGCCCTGCTTCATCTCTGTTAATTCTTAAAAATAGCAAACAAAGACATTAACATTTTTAGAAATGTTAATTTACACAAAACTGATTGAGAAAGTATAAAAAGGTAATTGTTGGGCTAAATAGCAACAAAAAGTCATTTTTAAAATTTGTTTAAGACTATTTGAAGTAGGGAAAGAGGCGGATTGCTTTATTTGCCCTTCTGATTTATCATTGTTGTGAAGTGCCGTCGAGTCGGTTCCAACCCATAAATGACCCTGTATAGGGTTTCCTAGGAGCAGCTGGTTTGCAGTTCAAACGGCTTTGCAGTCTGGCGCATTAACCCCATAGTGCCACACCAGTGTCACTTTATTTTGTCCATGTGTAAAAAAGAAGAGGCTTTCTGTTCTCATAAAAGATTTACAGGGTCACTGTTGGTTGAGATTGACTTGAGAACACACAACTACCACCACAACTTTTAGGGCTTTATGTAGCCAAAATAATAATTAAACTATTCCTGTGACATGAGTGGATGAAACAAAATAGGAATTAAGTATTCCCAAGTGGTTGGAAATATATTGTAGGCACATGACTTATTTAAAGGTGGTATTTTTAAGATTCTTTTGGAGTCCTGGTGTGGCGCTGTGGGGTAGTGTGCTGGACTGCAAGATCTGTGGTTCAAGTTCATCAGCAACTCCTCAGAAACCCTATACAGGGTCGTTATGAGTCAGAAGCTTCTTGATGGCACTTAACAATTCATAAACTCTAAGAACCTTACATTTAATAGTCATTTGTATTTCAGTCATGGAACAGTGCTATGTGCTGTCGAGTAAGTTCCAACTCATAGCAACCCTCTTGGGTTTATGAGAGTAGCTGGTTTGTTTGAACTGCTAACCTTGCAGTTACCAGTCTGGTGCTCATTCTACAGTGCCACCAAAAGAATTGGTAGAAGTCACTTTTTAAAAGGAATTTAAGTCTGTGCCATTTCCCAAGGCATTGTGTTAGGTGCCAAGAACATAAAATAGCTAAAATTAAAATAATTCAATGGTGAAAACATGGGTGTAAGAAAAGAAATATATTTATATAAGCTGTGGATTAATGCACTGAGCTGCAATGTCAGTTTGAATTGCGAGAACAGCTGTTCAAGGTCACCTAGAGGTCCTCAGGTTTGCTGTGAGTCAGAACCGACTCCATGGCACTTAACAACAACAATAACAGAATTTTAGTAAGGCACCCTGTTGGCATACGATCCTGAGCTGTGCAGTTAACTGACAGGTCAGCAGTTTGAATCTACCAATTGCTCCGTGGGAGAAATAATGAGGTTTTCTGGTCCCATAAAGATTTACAACCTTGGAAACTGCACCATTGCTACAAGGTGAAACCGACTTGGTGGAACATGTTCTAATATTCAGGTCAAGAAAACTCATTTATAATCTAGTAAGTCCACTTTGAGTAGTATATTATTTTGCCCCTGTAGTGGGAAACGTTGAATTTTTTTTAAGAGAGGACAAATGTCAGCTGCAATAATCAATTTTCTAAGCCAAAACTACTGGGTTTTGTTCTGACTCAGCAATACTATATAGTTTACAAAAGCAACTAGTGAGTTTGCCAACCTTGTGCTTAGCAGACCAGTACTTATCCTATAGTGCCACACCAGGGCTCTGTTTTATTTTTATTTTTGGTAGTGTTATGAGGTGAAAAGTGTTGGCCCGGTGATATATATGTAGAAATTGCACCGACTATAAGACTTTACTTCAAACTACTTATAACTTGATATTAAAAGTTATCTGCACTGAAATTTCTATGTGCGTTGTTGTTACCTGCCCATAGCGACCCAGAACAGGGTTTCCAAGGGTAGGCAGTACTTAATTTGAAATGTGTCTTTGTTTTGACTTAATTGAACTGGTGCTATAGGATAAGCACTGGACTAATAACCACAGGTTGGTGGTTCCAACCCACCAAGGATTTCTTCTTCTTGTTACATGCCATGGAGTCGATTCCAACCCATAGCAACCCTGTATAGGGTTTCCAAGCAGCAAATGGTGAGCTTGAACTATAGATTTTGCAGTCTGACGCATCAGCCCACAGCGCCACACCAAGACTCCAAGGAGTTCTTATTGTTGTCAAGTACCATGGAGTCGGTTCCAACTCATAGTGACCCTGCACAGGGTTTCTGAGGCTGTAAGTCTTTATGGGAGCAGAAAGCCTCATCTTTCTCCCGTGGAACAGCTGGTAGTTTCGAACTGCCAACCTTGAGGTTAGCAGCCCAATTCGTGACCACTGCGCTACCAGAGCTCCTTTATATAGGGTCACTATGTGTCGGAACTGATTCAGTGGCACTTAATAACAACAGCATACAGTTCTATATTTTTATCTGCTCATTTGCTTTGTTGTTGTTATATGCCATGGAGTCAATTCCGACTCATAGTGACCCTGTACAGGGTTTCCGAGGCTATAAATCTTTATGGGAGCAGATAGCCTCATCTTTCTCCTGCATAACAGCTGGTAGTTTCAAGCTGCTGACCTTACGGTTCGCAGCCCGATTCGGAACCACAATGCTACCAGAGCAGAACTCCTTTCATTAACTTTAGAAATACATGTATTATTTTGTGGATTGCAGGTTTGTGTTACAGATGATATTTTCTTTTATGTTTTTTTGTTTTTCAGTGATTCACCTTTGCCAGTCTCATCCCGTGTCTGCTTTGTTAAGTTCCATGATCCCGATTCAGCAGTTGTGGCACAGCATCTGACAAACACTGTCTTCGTTGACAGAGCTTTGATAGTCGTACCATATGCAGAAGGTTTGTGCTTTGTTTAACTACCTATATGGCATCCTATGATGACCATCTAATCTACCTCAGTGTAGTTACAGAGTGAGTGTTAGTCACATATTTAAAAATTTAAGCTATTAACGTTTTCAAACCCTTGTTATACTGTGGTCCATATTATATTGCTAACAGTTTTTTTTTTTATTATTATTCTAAAAATTATAAATCAGATACTGCTTTTATAAGGTATTTTTTTGTTTTCTTTTTAAAACATTTTTTAAGTTGCCTAAAGTAATATCCCTAGTTACAATTCTCTAAGATACATCTATTTAGTAAACTTAATGTTGAGTCCTATGAAAAAGTCCAGATGGCCAACAGTTCGCACTGTGCAGACTAACACAGAAGCTTTCAAATAAATGCATGACTGGTTTAAATATATGACTAGGTTAGTTTCATTTTCTGATTGTGTTCTCTCCCTGAAGACTTAAGAAAAAAATCCCATCTTAAATTCTTCCAGTATACCAAGGGTTGCAATATTTTGGTTTCTGCAAAAAGTTCAAGATTTCATATAGCTTAGGTGCCAAATGGGCACTGGGTATTTTGTTTTATACCAGATTTTCTTGTTCATTCTTGCTATATTTTCTAGAAATCTCTAAATAATAAATTCTTCTCTCTGTTATTTGTGTGTGTGATTTTTGTAGTGGAGAAGGCAAATGCAAAACCCTTCCAGATGACTGAAAAACAGTGGGTCCTCTGCAGCTACAGGGGATTCTAGACATTAACTAAAGGCCAGCAAGCACTCAAGTCCCCCCAAGTGTTTTCCTGGTGTAACCATTTGTTAACTACATTTTCTCTCTTTTTACATTTTAGGCTGTTAAAGCAATTTGACAGGAAAAAGCAGGTTTTGGGGGTTCTAAAAACCACTGCGACAAGACAGCACTATTTTAATGCCACTTTATAAAACTTTCTAAGGCATATTTTATACTTAGTTTTGTTCCCAATGTACTGTTCCTTGGTTTGCTCTTTGGTAACTATAAGTTTGATCAAACAAATCATTTACATATTTTAAGTTTATTGGATTTTAAATTAATAATTAATATACTGACCAGGATTTAAATGCTTTGCCCTTAAAGAACTGGTCAGTGAAAGCAGAATTTCTATATTGTTGTTTTTAGATGCTAACATAGATCTTTCAATACCAATGTGAACATTTGCATATCATGCCTTGTAAAATGTCTGGTCCTTAAAAGCTTAGAGAAATTGCTTCTGGTTTTCTGAGAAATGAACTTTCATAGATTGTTTAAGGCATGCTATATTATAATAGCACATCTGCCTACATGATCATAAGGTGTATGGGCCCAGTTTTAAGGTTTTATTTTAAAAACAAAAACTGATGAACTTTTGTTTTAGTCTATTTTGCTTTAGCAATTTCTTTTATGCCAGTGTGTCTACTGTAGGATAAGACATATTACCAAGAGAAATTTTATAAAATTTAAGTTCAAGAAGATTTATAGATAGATCATAGGTCTTGGGTAAAAGGTCAAGTCATATGAGTAATCAGCAAAACATTTTAGTTTTTAAGTTTAGAGAATTTGTATTGGCTAAGACTTGATAGCCCACAAGCCCTGGACATAATGCAGTATATCATACTGGTTTTCAGAAATCTTTTTACACTATAATAATTTCTCTAGATCTATTTTTGCAAGTGGAATATTTGGGAGTATATCTAGAATTATCATATTTTATGTGGGAATCTATTTTTTGTATATTTAATATCTGGTATGATATTCTGTATTAATCTTGTCACGTAAATAATATACTCAGTCACCATTCAGTGGTTCTAGCTCTGACACTTAGGTGTTGGCTCTTGGTCAGTGTTTTAGAATAATAAAGACAAAGTATGTGGTAAGGGTTAGTATTAATTGAGATAGTTGGATTTGGAAGGAGCTCTTAATAGTAATTGTTTTGGGGGTTATTTAGGTTTCTTGGTTAATGTTTGTTTCTTTTGTCTGTTTCTTTTTCTTTCATTTCTACACATTCATGCAGTATTTCATGGTTCTATCAAAGCAGCAGTAAAAAAAATACTCTTGACGCATGAAAATTAACTGGTGAGGGGCCTCATTGCTATTTTTAAATTGTAGTTTATTTTTAAATAGTCTTTTTTTAATCAGAGGATCAGATGCATGATTTTTTTTAATGGATGCAGATCTTCTATCAGGTGTCTCACAATAAATAAATTCAAGAGGATTTTAGTTTGCCAGAAATATTGCAAATGCACTAATTTGAGTAAGATGTTGATATATCCTCTTGAAACATAATTTTGCATGCAAAATTATCCCATAATCTTTGTAGGTTTGTTAATATTGATGCATTAATGCCCTATACCTAAATTTATCTTCTCCCTCCCCCTCCATAACTCTTGGTATCTAAATTGATGACAGCTCTGACACAAGCAAGATAACAGTGCTGTGTAGTATACATTTGTTGATATTATCGGCACTTCTCAGTATAGGTGGAAGGAACCATTACCTTTATTTAACAGTGGTTTTTCTTTTTTGTTGTTGTGTTTTACAGTTCTTTTCCCTGGTTCAGCCTGAACTATATACCAGGCCCTGCTGAAAATACCACCCAACAGTTTTCTTCTGCAGCTTATCCAGTTTCTCTTAAGTGCCCTGTACATATTGTATGTTTTATGATGAGATGCAGTTTCTTAATATGTATTACAGAAATACTACTGGTATTTGCAAATAATGTAGTTTAATTGTATTATTGAACTCTCATTTTGGGGGCTTGGGCACATTAACAGATTAATCCATCTGTATAGGGCTTTTGCTGTTGGATAGAATTTAAATTGTCTACATAAATATTTGTCAATAGGACCCTTAGATTTTATCTGAATACACAGATTAGGCTTTAAAGCAGAAATACATGTCTTTTTTTTCTTTCTTTTTTCTTTTTTTTTTTTTCTTTTTTTTTTTTTTGCTTAAGGAGTTTGACTAAGTCAGTGTTTGAACTGATACTATATATAAAAGCATTTTTTGGTATGGTTGGCATGGCACATGTTGGAAATAAAGTATTTTACTGTACAGGTAAGGAATGTGCCATGTTGTTTACCTATTCTCTCTCTTTATCTTTCACTCACTTCCACACACGTATCCTGAGTGTATTCAGAGACCTTCAGAAACATTCATTTTCATGAGTCAGCAAAAGCCCTACTCCTTATTCCAACAGATTATTTCCTTTACATACTTTTCTTCTCTTAATTTTTACAAAATTTATATGGTAGGTGTAAAAAAAAAAAAAAAAAACCATAGTAACTGTACCATATTATTAACCCCTAAATCAAACTTTTTTTGTCTTGTGTATCTTGATTTTTCTGTGTGCTTTATAGTGAAGCAGCCGACACGAGTCGTTGTTCATAAAACAGCTTTTGAAAGTTGAGAGCACATCCCTGGAGAACCGACTGTGCTTGCTTACGTTTGGTTCATGACTTAAAAATCGAGTACAGGTGATGAAATCTTGGCAGTGTTAACAAAAAAAAGTAGTGTGTATTGTGCTATTTTTTTTACTCTAGAAACTTAACCATTTATAGAGAAAAAGGAAACAGATTTTCACACATTGAAGTTTCATTCTGACATAAAATTAATGATAAATAATCATAGAAATCAAGTTTTATATTTTAGCGAACATAAGTACTTTCAACAAACTCAGGTGGTGTATCAGGGAGACATTTTCTGGGTGTTTTTTGTGTGTTTTCTGTCTTGAAAAAGATTGTGTTCTAATGGAAGGATATTTCTCTGCAGGAGTTATTCCTGATGAGACTAAGGCTTTGTCTCTGTTGGCACCAGCTAACGCAGTGGCAGGTCTTCTGCCTGGTGGTGGACTCCTGCCTACTCCTAATCCACTTACCCAGGTATAAGTTCTGTTAGATTTTAAATTGTGGATACAGCTAAACATGCTTAAACCGTATGACTCTAGTTCATAGACCAGTGTCACGTGTGCATGATATATCAAAGGTTGCATTGAATCATGAAGAGTTAAAAACAAGTGTCTTAGAATTTTGCACTTTTTGCTTTGGGTAATAGAGGAAAAGAAAACTGAAGGTCAGTACTCTTTAGAGCCTACTTTCTACAAAGCCTTCTTCCTTTCACCCACTTCAGAAACATCTTTAGGCGTTCACTTAAGTAGGTTACTTTAAAATACAGATGGATTCTTGATGGGGATATTTAGTGTGGGCAGATGAAATAGAGTTAGAGAAAGTTTCTACAGGATTTTATTGCTAACCCTATTAATGTAAGAAGCGTACAATTTTCTAACTAACGGCACTATAACCAGCATCCATTCTAACCATTCAAAGAGACTTTAACTGGTCAGCAGTTTCTTATAGTGAAATAAACAAAAGTAGTATATAATGAACCTCAGAATTTCATAACAGCATTTTATTTTGTTGTCATCCCTGCAAAAGTGATTGTTTCTGTTAATTCTTATGTGAGCAGGAGAACATAGTATAATGGAAAGAGCATTAGAATAGAAGTCCCAAGTTTAGGGTATTGACTTATCTCTTAAGTGCTATCCAGGCATGTTGTCCAACTCATAGTGACCCTCTGCTGTATGGGGTTTTCAAGGAGTGGCTGGTGAGTTTGAACCACAACCTTGTGGTTAGCATTCCACTGTTTATAATAGAGCACCACACCTGGACCTCTAGTTTTTTGGGGTGTAAAATGGAAATCTAGGTGTTTTCTAAATCCTTTGAAGCATAAAATTATATGTTGTTGCTATAGTCAGATGTGGATTCAGAGCAACTTTATACGCAGCAGAATGAGGCACTGCCCTTTCCTGTGCTTGAGCCCATTGCTGCTACCACTGTGCTAATCTATTTCATTGGGGCGTGGTGTCTTCCTCTTTTTTGCTGACCCTTGACTTTACCAAGCACGCTGTCCGTCTCCAGGTACTGGTCCCTCCTGATAATACATTTGATTATTACATTATTGGAGAGGAAGTCTCGCCATCTTGGCTTCTAAGGAACATTCTAGCTGTACTTTTTCCGACATAGATTTATTTGTTGTTTTTGCAGTCCATGGTAGTTTTAAATTCTCCTCCGTACCATAGCTCAAATGCATGAATTCATCTACAATCTTCTTTACTCATTGTCTGACTTTCATATGAGGTCATTGAAAGCACCATGGCTTGAATCAGGCACAACGTAGTCCTAACACTGACATATTTGATCTTGAACACTTTAAAGAAGTCTTGTGCAGCAGATTGCCCCTGGGCTATTACATCATTTGAGTTCTTGTGTGTTGATGGTTAATTCAATCAAAATCATGTCTGACAACTTCAGTCTTTTCTCAGTTTATATTGATGTTATTTATTGATCCAGTGGTGAGGATTTTTGTTTTCCTTTATATACATTGAGGTGTGCAGCCCATACTGGGTAAGTTCATTTAAGTCCTCTTCACTTTCGGTAAGCAAGGTTGTATGATATCTGCATATCACAAGTCGTTAATGGGTCTTCCTCAAATCCTGATGCCACAGTTGTTTTATAATCCAGATTCTCTTATTATTTACTCATCATACAGATATAATAAGTATGTTGAAAGGATACAAACCTGGCACATACCTTTCCTAATTTCAAACAATTCATTGTCACCTTGTTCTGTTTAAACAACTGCCTCTTGGTCTACATACAGGTTACTCATGAGCATAATTAATGTCCCGAAATACTAATTCTCTGTAATATTGTCCATAGCGTAACATGTTCCACATAATCAAAGCTTTTGTATGGTCAGTAAAGCACAAGGAAACATCTGTCTGATATTACTTTGCTTTCAGCCAAGATCCTTCTGATGTCAGCAATGATACTCCTCGTTCCTCATCCTTTGAATCCAACTTGAGTGTCTAACAGTTCCCAGTCAATGTACTGTTGCAAAATTTTACTTGCATGCGATATTAATGATTTTGTGTTCCATGAGGTCACCTCTCTCTGGAATGAGCACAATACAGATCTCTTCCAATCATTTGTCCAGGTAGTTTTCTTTCAATTTCTTGGCATAGATTAGTGTGTGCATCCAGTGCCACGTGAGTTTGTTAAAAAGATATTCCATCAATTCCAAGAGTCTTGTTCTTTTCTGATACCTTAAGTGCATCTTGGATTTCTTCCTTCAGTATCAGTGGCTCTTGATTATATGCTTCCTCTTGAAATGGTTGATCATCTACCATTTCTTTTTGGTACAGTGACTCTGTATTCCTTACTTCTTTTTATGCTTTCTGCATCATTCAAGATTTTGCCAAAAGAATCCTTCAGCATTGGAAGTTGAGGCTCATATTCTGGCACTATATTTGACAGTATTCTGTTGCTCTTTGTGTTTCAATATTCTCATGCTATCTGACAATGTTCCACTGCTATTTGTAGAGATTTTCAATGACTAAATGTTCGAAAGTAGTCGATCTTTACCTTCTTTCTAGTCTGTCTTGGTATCGTGCTGTTGGTCAGTGCACTGAACTGCAAGGTCAGCAGCTCAAACTCACCAGCCCTTCTTTGGAAACACTATACACGTTCGCTATGAGTTGGAATTGACTCAACGGCACTTAACAATACAACACGGAAACCTGTCCACCGTCACTGACCCTTTTGGTATTCAAAATACCTATGCATAGCTTCCCGATTCATAGCAACATGCAAGACACCTCAGTTCAACAGTGTATTTCTCATAATCAGTAAATAGTTAAATCATAGACACTTTCGTAATTAAAGAAATAACATGTATAGAACTTCAAACTGTCACTAAAGTCCACAAGCATTTTACAAATTTTGTATATGTTAAATTAATCAGAATTATATCAGAAGACAGTAGTTTGAACATAGAAAGTGTAATGCAGGGGGCCTTCAAACAGTTGGTAGGAAAATTTCATGGTTTTTTTAGTCTTTCTGTAAAGGTTTTGAAATTATTAAATAATAACTGTGTTGTTACTAGAAGAATGATAAAGAATACATAAGTACTAGTTGCAACAACCACTACTTCTGGTACTGAGAAAGAATACAAGGAAGAATCTCATTTAGATGAGGTGATTCCTTTTAAAAGCTTAAGTTCAGACTTCCTTGTAAAGGATGGATGGTGAACCAGTTCTCAGGGTGCCCATATAACTTGCTGAGTCTGGGTAGTTACTTACTGGTAACTGAGGAAAAGCAATGAGTATCCCACAATAACCAGAGACTTCACAGTGTCCTCTATAGACAAAGCTGAATTAGTATCAGGCAAGCTATCAAAGCAGAAATATTTATTGAGTACTGTCTCTAGTAACACAAAATAAGGCAAACCAAAACCCATTGCCAGTTGAGCCCCCCCCTTGGTGTGGGGTTCAAACTGCTGATCTTTTCTTGGGCAGTTGGTGCTTTAACCACTGTCACCAGGACTCTTGAAAGCAAAGAGGATTTGGAGCTATAAAATATTATTATATTTGATCCAAGAGTACACTGAAAAAATGTATTTTTTTCCTGTATCTTGGTTTTGGGGGTAAAATATACTGCAATTACTGGGAAAGATGTGCCATCCTAAAAGTCAAGAGTCCAGAAACTTCACACCAGGAACCACGAACCTGTTTTTGTGCTATAATGGCAAGAGTTTCAAAGCTGCAACAAAGGCTACAAGACCTACAAACTTTTCAAAACTGTTTGCTACCTGACCTTTACAGGAAAAGTTACTGATGTGATGCTCTGGGATAATGGGCTGGACTGCATAGTAGTGTGAACCGCAAGGTTGGTAGTGCAAGCTCATCAGCTGCTCCACAGAAACCCTGGACGGGGTCTCTGAGTCAGAACTGACACCACGACACTTAACAACAGCATACTATAGGGAATAGAAATGAAGTTTAAAGTAAGTAAAATTTGAATTTCACAGATTGGCGCTGTTCCATTGGCTGCTTTGGGAGCTCCTACTCTTGATCCTGCCCTTGCTGCTCTTGGGCTTCCTGGAGCAAACTTGAACTCTCAGGTATAACTTCTTTTCAACATTGAGCCCATTTTAAATAATTAAAAAATTTATTTAATTGCTATTAATTTCATTTCAGGAGTAGTAATATTTTTATAATATAAACTTATTAAAAAATTTTTAAATCACTGAATTTAATTAGTCTTTTTCTCATTAAAGAATTTCTGGCTTTATATATTTCACAGTAAGTAATAGTTTCATGTCATGTCATGGAATCAGAAAACAGTTATAAGAGGCTGGGAAAGCAGGTATATAATTTGTCTTAACACTTTTAAATGTTTCTTTTCTTTCGTTGTAATTTAGACTCTTTTTTTTGCAGTCTTATATGTTACATTTCTTTAAAATTTTACCTTCAGAAAGTCTTAAAATTAGCAAGAGGAAATAAATACCAGTCAAGTATTATTTTATGTATTACTGCTATTATATGTGTTTTTTTGCAGTCTCTTGCCGCAGATCAGTTATTGAAGCTTATGAGTACTGTTGATCCCAAGTAAGGGTTTTTCTTTGTTTACATGGGTTATAAAAGCAGGGTGTGATAGATACTTAAAAATCAATCATTTAAAATGATAAGAAAGTTACCTTATGTTAGGCAATGGATACAATATAGTTTATCAGAATCATTGGAAGAATTAAGTACTATGTTAAGCTTATTCATTCAAAAAATAAAGTGCTTACTATGAGTCCCTGCCCTTATATCATTTATACATAATCAAACATTAAAATATAGTTACACAAAAAATGTTACGGAAATTTTAGGAGGATGAACTAGTTTGAGTATGAAAGAGGCTGAGCCCTGAAGGTTGAATAAGAGTTAGCTAGTTAGAGTTGACAGAAATTAGTACATATTATGTAATAATAGCCAGTATCTTTTATTAGGTGTTTTGATAAATGTTCATACTATAACTAAAATTGTATCCTACTTACTACAAAACAAATTCAAGAATGGGTAATTCTTTCATACATTCAACTCTGTTTCCCCTTAATTTAATGTGGGTCAATAAGTAAGAGCTCGGAAGAAAAGGGAATGAGATCATTCATCTAACATCCATGGTTGTGGTGGTTGTTGCTAAGTTTCATTTAGTCTATTCCAATTCATATTGATTTAAAAACTGTATAAGGTTTTTAAATCTTAGAGGGAGCACAAAGCCTTATTTTCTCCCATGGAACAGCTAGTGAGCTCGAACCGCCAACCTTGTGGTTTGCAATCCAGTACTTACCTTATGGAATCACCTGCCTCCAAATCATTTATGATTAATAGCCCTTAGACCAAGCTCGTGCCTCCAAACCATTTATGGTTAGTGGCCCTTAGACCACGCTCGTACCTGCTACCCAATTTGTAAAATATTTCACTGGTAAACATGTAAAAGTATTTCATGTTTCCATTTTTAATTCTATTTCAGGTTGAATCATGTAGCTGCTGGTCTTGTTTCACCAAGTCTGAAATCAGATACTTCTAGTAAAGAAATAGAGGAAGCCATGAAAAGAGTACGAGAAGCACAGTCCCTAATTTCTGCTGCTATAGAGCCAGGTAAGATGTGTTTGTACAATTGTGTCTAATCTTAATCTTTATGATTTGTAGATAAAATTGTTAACCTACATTCAGAAATGCTTTTCTATACACTAACTCATTTTCTAAATTTCCAAAGTCTCATAAAAATCATGGTGCAATGATAATTGAAGGGAGAAGAGACTGTTGTTTCATGTATATTTGGAGATATCTAGAGACACTTGAAAGGAGTTCTGGTAGCGTAGTGGTTACAAGTTGGGCTGCCAACCTCAAGTTCAGCAGTTCAAAACTACCAGCGATTCCACAGGAGAGAGATGAGGCTTTCTGCTCCCATAGAGATTTACAGTCTCGAAAACCCTGTGCAGGGTCACTATGAGTTGGAACGTAACCACCACCACTACCAGAGAGTTTGGAGGCCTGGAGTGGTACCAAAGGAGGTCAATTGGAACAACAAGGTCGGTAGTTCAAACTCACCAGCCACTTCATGGAAACCCTACACAGGGTCACTATGAGTTGGAATCTACTTGACAGCAGTGAACAACAAAAGAGACAGACACTTTAAACATCCTGTAACGCATGGAACAACAAAACAACAGTCCAGTCCAAAATGTCAGTATTGTTTTGATGTTTATCATCATATTTGCATAGTTGAGGTAGCCTAATTGATACTTTACTGTTTGTTTGGCTTAGAGAATCTAGTGAAGTTGCTTTTCATTTTGCCATTTGGTGGTGGTGGTGGTGGTGGTGGTGATGTGCCGTGGAGTCAGAAGCGTCCCTGTACAGGGTTTCTGAGGAGAAAGAGCAAATACTTTGCCGATTGTCTATTTGAGGTGAAATAAATGGTTATCCCATTTTCTGATGATATATTTTTGTATTTTGAGTTCTGACTATTTATTTTCCCCATTAAATGTTACATTACTCATTTCTTAGTAAAGGGAATTTTTAATACATACTTTATTATTATGCGCCATTAAGTTAGTTCCAACTCATAGCAACCTTTAAAGACAGAGTAGAACTTTCCAAGCATGAATAATTATGGAAGCAGGTTGTGACCTATTTCTCTTGCAGAACTACTAATGGGGTTTGTATTTGAGCTGCTGGCATTTTGAAAACCATGTACAGGGGCACTCTGAGTCAGAATCAACTCTGTAGTACTTAACAACAATAGTATTAATAGTAAATACTTTTAAATTAGATAAATATATGTGTTGTCTCAGTTAATCAACAAAATTTAATTTGCCCATAGCCAGCAAGCTGTAGGTTTTAAGTACGTAACTAGCAGATCCAGGATACTATACTCTCTTTATTTTTCTTACTGAAATCTCTTTACTGAAAGTAGTTTTATCTATGAACTGTTTTAATGTTTAAGCTTTTGGATAATTACTGATAATTGACGTTTCACAAAAGTTTGTTATCATATTAATGAAGTGATATAAATATGAAAGAATCTCACTTTGATATAAAGCATAAAGATTTCAATGACTTTATTTCTCCCGTTAGGTGCCATCAAGTCGGTTCTTAATCGTAGGGACCCTGTGCACAAGAGAACGAAACACTGTCCAGTCCTGTGCCATCGTCACAATTATTGTCACGTTTGTTTCCATTGTGCCAGCCCAACTAATTAAGGGTCTTCCTCTTTGCAGACCCTCCACTTTTCTAAGCATGATGTCCTTTGCTAAGGACTTGTCCCTCTTGAAAATATGTCCAAAGTACAAGAGATGAAATCTCTCTCCTCACTTCTAAATACATTTCTCATTAGGTCCTTATTGTAAAGGAAGTTCATCTGTTTAAAAGTAAGGAAATAATTCTGTTACAGCTCTGGTTCTAATTTTAAAATTGTGTGAAAAAGAGGAACAACCTTAGGTAGATTCCACGATAAGAGTTGTTGAATTAAAACCAATTCTGTCTCAAAAGTAGGACAAACTATGAATGGATTACGGCTTTCTGGAATCCAGGGATCAGATACTGAGCTTCCTTCTTGGAGCACAGAGTTTAGTAGTAGAGAAAGAAAATAAATAACGAGCTATCCTTGCCTTGCAAACCCATTCACATGCATAATATATATTTTGCAGGACCAAGAATTAAAGTTTTGGAAGAAGCTTGGAGCATTGGTGATTCAGTGGAGATTTCTTATTTTCCGTGCAAGAGATTTGTATTTAATTCCTGGCCACTGCACATTATGTACAAAGAACACTCCCACCCACGGTGTCAGTGGAGGTTTACATATTGATAAGATGAAGGGCAGATTTCAAAGGAACTTTCACATAAAGACTAGGAACAAAAGCCTGGCAGTCTACTTCCAAAGATCAACCAGATGAAAACCCTGAAAATCACAATGGTCCAAAACTAACCATGGTCCAGATAATGTTTTGTTCCATTGTGCGTGGGGTCTCCATGAGTCACAGGCCAACTGGATGGCAGCTAAAAATAATGTTTTGATTTATTACATATTTTATTGTTAGATACTGGCTGGAAAGATGTTAACCAATACATAAATTATGGTAGTTAAGTCTAACTCTTGCTCAGTGGTAGCTGTTTGGGAAGGTAGAATTTAGAAAACCTGATGGCCAAATACTTAGCGCTTCACTGTTAACTGAAAGATTGGCCATTTGAACCTAACCTAAAACAGCTCTGGGAGAAGTTCTACTGATTTACTTCCATAAAAATTACAGCCAAAATCCCGAAAGACAGTCTTCTACAATGTAACTTGGTTAGTAGCCATTTGTTTTAAGTACTGTGGAGTCAATTCCCACTCATAGCTACCTTGTACAAGGTTTTTGGGGCTGTAGATCTTTACAGGAACAGAACGCCTCATCTTTCTTCTGTGAAACAGCTGGTAGTTTTGAACTGCTGACCTTGTAGTTGGCAGCCTGACTCGTAACCAGTACTCTACCAGAATAGCCACTGGAGTCTTAAAAAGCTCATGAGTGGCCATTGAAGGTGCAACTGTTGCTCTCCATGTACAAAGGAAAAAAGAGTGAAAAAGATGCTTGAAATCATTTAGTTTGGTGGCTTAATGGTAAGGACAACAGTCCACGACTTGACCAGAAGAGCTACATAGATGATGCCTGGCCACCACTAGCTAATGCTCTGAAAGACCAAGTTTACTGGTCAGAAAGAGACTGGAGAAACAACAGACAGTTGTCCTTTCGCCACACTTAGGTCTGGAAAGAAATTCACCCTGGTGACTTTTTCAACCAAGCAGTAGATAGTTAGGTATGGGGAACAGCACTAGTAAAATATATTCACTGTGAAATGGTCAACCATTCCAGATCAAAAGGACAACTTTACCTAAGGACAAAGTTTAGCAGTATTGGAAATGAGGGTAGAATGGAAATAAAAACCATAAGGAAGAAGTGGCATAACTTGTTACATGGAGGGGATTTCAGTCATTGAGATGCAACAGAGTATGGCTTGCTGAATGTAAAGCTGATCTGCTCTGTAAACCTTCACTCAATTCAAAGTAAGTTTTTAAAAAATTTCGTAGGATGGTTCTTTCTGTTATATGGATTCAGTATCGGCTTAATTATTTTTAAGTGCTGTTAAGTCGATTCCGGCCCATAGCAACCCTGTATAGGGTTTCCAAGGAGTAGCTGGTCAGCTTGAACCACAGACCTTGCAGTTCAAACGACTTTTCTGACTGACATATTAGCTAGCCCACAGTGCCACACCAGGGCTCCAGCTTAATAGTACCTACCAATAACTATAACAACCCAGGAGAGGAAAATGGACTCCTTTATAAAGCCCTCATAAAAATAAATCTGAAGAAAGAGAAAAGATACTTATTATCAAAATTTCACTTGCAAGACTGTCACACCCTTGAGATCATGCAAATGTATGGAGCCTTTAGCTGAGAATCAGAAGTCTAATTTGGATCTACTGAAAGCCTAGATGATTTATATCACTTCAGTAAACTTGAATATTCTGGTTGTAAAATGATTGCATATAACATTAAAAATATATGTGTAAACTGAAACCATAAAGGAATTACTAAATTAACTATTAAACTGGGAGAATCGTCTGATTTGAAATTTTCTAAATCCAAATTTCTTGTAATACAGATAAGAAAGAAGAAAAACGAAGACATTCAAGATCAAGATCACGTTCTAGGAGGAGGAGGACTCCCTCATCTTCTAGACATAGGTTAGATTATATTTTGTATATAATTGTATCTCAGACAAACATAACATGTTTGATCCTTAATTTGATGCCAACTAACCCACTATCTCCTGGGAAAGGTGTATTGTAAACACTGGTGTAGTCTAATGCATATAAAAGGTAAGGAGATCAGGTGTTAACACACAGTATTACCTTAAAATATCCAAGATGTTTACTGTATGGAGTAATAGTGGCAGTGACAAGAAGGAAATTTCTTCCTCTTGTTAGTTACTAGCCCATATGTCTGAATCTTTTCTCTAAATACTAAACAAAATTGACTTCTGTTTATTTATGTTACATTGCATTGTTTTTACATTAGGCGATCCAGAAGCAGATCGCGGAGGAGATCACATTCTAAGTCAAGGAGTAGACGACGATCCAAAAGTCCAAGACGGAGACGATCTCATTCCAGAGAAAGAGGTAGAAGATCAAGGAGTACATCCAAAACCAGGTATAGCAGACTTAGCTTTTTGGGGTGCAGTTGTGTGGATTTTGATACTGCTTTTATTCTTAAAACTTTTCAGTAACTATGAAACTTTCACTGACATTATTTTCATCATATTGTTTAATCATCATCTTTCTTTCCTAAAATTTCTTGCCATCCTTAATAGAAGAGAAGCTCAGTGCCCCACCAAGCTATGACTCTTGGTAACCACTAATATAATTAAGTCTCCATACATTTGTCTTTTGTAGATTTTTTATTGTTCTTAATTTTTATTAACCGTCTTCTCTGTCTGACTGATTTCACTGCATAATGTCTTCCAGGTTTATCATGCAGTGTTTCACATATTCATTATTCTTCAATGTCAGATAATATTTCATTGTGTGTATATACCAAAGTTGTTTAACCATTCTTCTGTTGTTGGGCATCTATGCTGTCTCCATTTATTTGTGTCATGGCTTTCATTTCTTGAGGGAATATTCCAAGTAGATAGATTGCTGGGTCATATAGTATTTTTGTTTCCAACTTTAAGTTTGGTATTAATGCTTGGGTAAGATGGCATCTCATGGGAGTCCTGATGAGGCGCTTCAGAATATAAAGCTTGGGATTGCAAGGTCAGCAGTTCAAAGCCACCAGTTGCTACTCAGGAACCCTATCTAGGGTCACTATGGTTTGGAACCAACACTACAGCAATTGAAAATACAAAGGCTAATGTATTCCTGTTGTGACGCTGTAGGATAAACACCAGACTTCAGGGTCTGTTTGAACTGCAAGGTTAGCAGTTGAAATCTACCAGCTACCCCTCGGGAACCCTATACAAGGTTGCTATGAGTCAGAACAGAGTAGATGGCACTTAATAACAACAATGACTACTGATCGTTAGCATTTGTTGGCCATCCATATGTTATATTTGGTGAAGTGCCTGTTGAGTCCGCTACCCAGATTTTAATTGTAGTATTTGTCTTCTTTGTGCTGTGAAATGTTCTATAAATTTTAGAGAATAATCCCATTTTCTCATGTCATTGCCAAAATTTTTTTCCAAGTTTGAGTTAGCTTCCTAGTCTTTGGTGAAATCGTTTGTTGTATATGAGTGTCTAATTTTTAGGAGATCACAGTCATCTACTTTGTCTGCTCCTCTTTGTGTGTTTTCAGTTATGCTTGATAATAATATATTTATGCCATGTATCAGAATCCCTGTTTATCCTTTTTTTCATTGATGATCCATATAGTTCTAGGTTTTACATTTAATCCACATTGGTTTCTTATTTCCAAAACAGGCTTGGCAGATTTCTTACAGAATTGACAAAAATCTATTTGTGTTTGACACATACGCGCACTTGAGATTTGCTCACTCTACGAACTGTGTGGAGTCCTGGTGTGGCACTGTAGGATAATCACTGGACTGCTAACCATAAGGTCGGCAGGTCAAACCCACAAGCCACTCCTTAGAAATCGCTTTACCAGGATCACTGTGAGTCAGAATTAACTCAGTGGTACTTAACAAAACACCAACATATCCATTATTTCTGTGTTCTGGAATAGTTTAAGTAGAATTGGTGTCATCTCTTCTCTGAGTATTTGATAGAATTAACCAATAAAGCTATCTGAGCCCAGACTTTTTTGTTGGGAGTTTTTTAATGCCTTGAACAATTTCTGTTTTGTTGTAGTACTGTTAAAAGTTTTGTTTCAGTTTGTTATTTTAGGTAAGCAGGTAGTGTGCTTTGAGTTATTTGTCCATTTCTAATAGCTTTATTTGTTGGAGTACAATTCTTCTGTCGTATTATATTGTAGTTTGGGTGGCATTGTCGGATAAACACTGGTCTGTGAACCGCAAGTAGTTCAGTGGTTCGAGCCCACCAGCCTCTGCACGAGAAAGATGATGCTTTCTGTTTCTGCAAAGATTTACAGCCTCACAAACCCTATAAAGAGTCGCTGTGAGTTAGAACCAACTGGGTGGCACTTATTGATTGTATAGGTTCTCCATAACAGTAAAACATTATGGAGTCTTGGTGTGGGGTTGTAGATTAAGCAGCATACCACAAGGTCTGCTTTTGAACCACAAGGTCAGTGGTTCAAACTCTAAAACTTAGTCAGTCCTCAAAAACCCTTTACAAGGTCGTTATGAGTTCAAATCAACTTGACAGTACTTAATGACAGCCTTTAATAAAATTTCTTCTGGTGGCTGTAGGCTTGCATTGCTGCTCTTTTTTATTATTATTGTTATTAGAGATATTGAATTAGGTGTTAATTTGGTTCATTCTTTTTATGAATGTTTGTTTATTGCTGAGATACACAATGTTAACATTGAATGAAGAGACAAATGCATGTCATATAAGACACGAGATACTTTTACTTAAGGATGTTGTTGTTGTTGTTGTTGTTGTTGTTATGTGCCGTGGAGTCGGAACCGACTCATAGCGACCCTGTACAGGGTTTCCGAGGGTGTAAATCTTTACGGGAGTAGAAAGCCTCATCTTTCTCCCGCGGAGCAGCTGGTAGTTTCGAACTGCTGACCTTGCGGTTCACAGCCCGAGTCGTAACCACTACGCTACCAGAGCTCCTTAATAAGAGGTATGAAAGGGTACATTATTGGGGAAAAGAAAAAGAAGATAATTGAAAATTTAGGAGTCTTTTTCTTTTATAAACTGAAACTTCAGCTTTAAACTGAATATCTGGGTAGAATTTATTAGGTTTGAATTCTTAGGTGTTCTACTACCTCTTCCTTTTCTGTCAACCACTGCTAAGGATATCGTGCTACCAGTAATTCCTTGTGGCATGCTGAAGAGTTATACAAGAATGCTTCTTTTCTTTAAGCAACTTAAACATTTGTTAAGGATTGCTGTATGCATACTGAATCATACAAAGAGTAGTGTTTAGCCCATGATTTGGGGCAAGGAAATTAAAGTGAAAATTTCTAAAAAGGAAAGAAAGAAACCTTCATATTTTATTTCAAGTTAAACATATATATTTAATATGTCTTTTGATATAGGTCCAAGATCTTTTATTTAGAATGTTACTTGTGCCTGGGATTTTATTTTACCCTTATCATTTACAGTTACTATATTTGTTGTTGTTGTTGTTAAGTGCCGTGGAGTCGATTCCGACGCATAGCGACCCTGCACAGGGTTTCCAAGGCTGTAAATCTTTATGGGAGCAGAACGCCTCATCTTTCTCCCTCGGAACCGCTGGTAGTTTCGAACTGTTGACCTTGCGGTTCACAGCCTGATTCATAACCACTACGCTACCAGAGCAGTTTAATTGTACATATTTTCTTTAGCAGTTACCTTTATCTATTATTGCCCTTAAATTTCTAAAAGTCATTTTATACTTTTAATTAAATTGCATAATTTAATCCCATAAATACAACTGATAGTCACTATATAAATCAAATGATGGGAGCAAGTACTTGGGTTGTTTTTGTTGTCGGGTGCCATGGAGTTGGTTCTAACTCACAGTGAACCTGTATAGGGTTTCCAAGGGGTGACAGGTGGTCAGTTAGCAGTCCATTATTCAGTAGTTCATCCAATAATGGGGCTTTAAATCATTATCAACACTTGTGGAAGCAGCACTCAGAGATCAGACAACGTTGATTACATTGGGCAAATCTGCTGCACAGGAACTTTTTAAAGTGTTAAAAGAGCAGAGATGTCAGCTTGAGGACTAAGGTGTGCCTGACCCAAGCCATCGTATTTTCAATAACCTCATATGGATGCAAAAGCTGGACAGTGAATAAGGAAGACCATAGAAGAATTGATGCCTTTGAGTTGTGGTGTTGGAGGAGAATACTTAAAATGCCGTGGACTGCCAAAAAAAAACAATAGATCTGTTTTGGAAGAAGTGCAGCCAGAGTGCTCCTTGGAGGCCAGGATGGCTAAGCTTCGTCTCTCATACTTTGGACATATTGTCCGGAGGGAACAGTCGCTGGAGAAGGATGTCATGCTGGGTAAGACGCGGAGGGTCAGAGAAAAAGAGGAAGACCCCCCCCCCCCCAACGAGATGGATCTGCCTGGTGGCATCATTGATGGCGTCAAGTGTGGCAGCGGTAGTGAGGTTGGCCCAGGATCGGACATTGTTTCATTCTGCTGTGCATGGGGTCATTATGAGTCAGTTCCGACTCAATGGCACCTGACAACAACAACAAGTCACTATAGTATTTTTTTTTGTTCTATTTGCTTTGGTAAATCATCAGTTCCTCAGACAAAAAAGGTTTCTCAATGAAGCATTTGTCATGTTGTGTGCCATAGAGGAAGAAATCGACATGTTTTGGTGGCATAGGAGGTGTTAAGTGTTGAACTGCTTTCACAAGGTCAGCAGTTCAAACCCAGCTTCTACTGTGTGGGAAGATGACTTGGCAGTCTGTTACTGTATAAAGATTGACTGTCTCAGACAGCATATGGAGGAGCTGTGCTGTTCTGCGTTATATGGTTGTTATGAGTTAGAATCCGCTCAGTGGCTGTAGATAGGTTTCCCTTAAGGAACTTGCTGTATAAAAAGAGGATGAAAGTAATAACAAGACCATTGTTAAGTGCCATTTAATAATGTTAAAAGGGACTTAAATGAGAGAAGCAACTGCATATTCCAGTAGATTTGCTGAGATTTGATGGTGACATGCTTTCAAGCAGAGTATGGTGTTTATAATTGTTAGCATGATTTGGGTGTAGTACTGCCAGGAAATCCACTCAGAAAAGGCAATAAGGTGATAACAGAAGTCCTTGGATTAACTTGTACTTAATCCACAAGGCAATAATACTTTAAGGATTATACTGAGAAAGTTTTCTGAGAGGGTTCCGAATTAGTTTGTGGACGACATGACAGACCTATCAAAGGGCTGTTGAGGTAATTTAGGAATTACATGATAGAGGCTTAATGAAGAAAGATGATAACTGATGGATCAGAATGATGAGAGAAGGGAAGGAATGGAGTGAAGAACACAAAGTATGTGTACAGAGGGTTTGGCATACAATAACAAAATGTGATCCTAAAATAGGTGAGGATAGATCTGTATCTATCTTTTTGCATGTAAAGGACATATCATTCCACAAATATATCTTACCTACTTTTTGACCAGGGTCTTGGGGATATTGGTAATCTTGGGGAGATGTTACAGGTAATAAAATAATTTTACAAATATCGGTAATAACAGGTAGAGTTCAACTATGGTTGTAGTTTCAATCCATTGAATGAGTGCTCTATTCGTGTCATAGTATCCAATAGTCATTAACCCTCAGTGCCACATCAGGACTCCCAAAAATAATGTAACAACAGGAAAAAAGGTAGAAGGTTGGCCTAAATAACTTGGGAAGTTTCCTTTGTAAGAATAATTAGGAAATTGTTATCTATGATTGATTTTAGTTGTGGTGTGTTTGGAACCAGGAGATCAGCTATGAAAAGAGTGTTCAAGGCCTAAAGACAATTAATAAAACTACTGATGGTCACCGTCTGAAATACCAAGAAACTAGCCAACATTGTGATGATATCTTCTCATCAGTCTACCTTGCTCTATCAAAAAGAATTTTTATGTAGAATATTAGGAACATGAAAAATTCAAATACGTCATGTACCACAAAGTATATTTCTTGTACTGTTATTTCTAGGTTATTTCTATCAGAATAATACTAGTATTTTCAAATATAGAACAGACTTAATTGTACTTTGGGTTTTATTTATACTGTTTTTTATATATACATTTGCTGAGTTTTAATTAATTTATTCATAAGCTGTGTTCATTTACTAGAGACAAAAAGAAAGAAGATAAAGAAAAGAAACGTTCCAAAACACCACCAAAAAGTTATAGCACAGCCAGACGTTCTAGAAGTGCAAGCAGGTAAGGTAGCATCATAACCTCTCTTTATGTCTTCCCCCTCCCGCTAACTTTGCAATAGCAGTAGCCTGTGAACATGAAGTATTTTTCAGATGATAGATACTATTTCAGTGTTGAAAGAAGTTAGGCTTTGCCATTACATTGAGAGTTTTTTTAAAGGCAATTTGTGAAGAATAACCTGAGGTTCATCTCTCTTTTTACTTAGTAATTTATGGTGTAGAGGGTATTTGAAACAACACGGAATTCAACCGAGGTCAGTTTCTATTTTTGCTATATGCATCCCCACATGCTGTTTTTTCCTAGTCTAACGGTTTTGGTGGCTAAAGCATCTGAATTGTTGGTTAAAAAGGTTTTATTATGTTGCAATTTATTGACATTTTGATGGGAGAAAATTCTAGATCTGATATTTGTCATTCTTAGATTAGTAATTATATCTATAAATTGCATTGTGAAATTCAAACTGTTTTGCAAACATTATTAAATATATTTTTACACAACATGAAATCCTTGATAATAAATAAGGGATGTCCATAATTCTTTTTTCTCTCTTCAGTCTCATTTGTGTTTGGCTTCAGTATTCATTGCTCAGCTTATTAAATTCTCTGGGAGGCTTATACCATATGTAAAAATTAACTCAAAATGGATGAAAAACCTAAATGTGTAAGAGCTATTAGAAAACAGGAATCATCTTTGTCATTTGACAGTAGTTTCCCAGATATGATACCAAAACATAAACAACAAAAGAAAAAGTAAATAAGCAAATTGGACTTTATCACAATTAAGAACTTTTTGTTTTATGGAATATTATCAAGAAACTGAAAAGGCAGAGTAGTACACAGTACTTGCAAGTCGTTAATCAGTGAGGTCTAATATATGTAAGAACTATAATGCAATAATAAAAAGACAGCCCAATGTGAAAAAATGAGCAATGGAACCTGAATTAGAAATTTCACCACAAATATCCAAAATACGTGCAAAGATACTCAGCATCATTAATCATCAAGGAAATGCTAATCAAACCACAGTGAGATTATACTTCATGACTACAAGGATATCTGTAATGAAAGGACTCTGGTAATAAGTGTTCAATGAGGGTGTGGAGGAAATGGAACCATCATACACTTATGATGGAAATGTAAAATGGTGCTTCCACTTATAAAACAGTTTGGCAGTTCTACTTCTAGGGATATGCCCAAGAAAACTGAAAACATTATTCCACATAAAAACTTGTATAAAATGTTGGTAACAACATTATTCAGAATAGATAGAACACCACAGATGGCCTTCAGCTGATGCATAGATAAATAAAATGTGGTACGTCATGCAATGGAGTATTGTTTTGACAATTAAAAGGAATAAACTGATTATAAAGCTGATGATATGCTTTGTAAACCATCACTCAGTTCACAAAAGGAATTTCTGATAATATATGGCACTTAAGGTTAATGCGCTGGGTTATAAAGTCTGTTTGAACCACAAGGTCGGCAGTTCAAAAACTTAACTAGTTACTCCTCAGAAACCCTATATAGAGTCATTATGAGTCAAAATCGACTCCATGGCACTTAACAGCATGCCACCAGATGAAATATTGAAAATATACTAAGTGAAAGAAACCAGGCACAGAAGATTGCATTCTCTGATTCCATTTATATGTCCAAATTAGTAGAGACAGAAAGTAGATTAGTTGGTTGCCTGGTGCTGAGTACTATGTCTGGTTGGAGAACTAAAGTTCAAAAGGTTTCTTTCAGGAGTGGTTAAATTGTTTCAAAATGGTGATGTTTGCAGTCTGAAGATGCTAAAAGTCATGTAACTGATAACCATACATTAAAACTTGTAGGTATGGGATGACCAGAAGAAATATTTTAAGTAACTGTGTGAAAATTAAAAGTGAAACGAGATATAAATATTGAACAAAATGTCAAATCAGGTTTGAGGTATAAATAGTCAAAAGACTATGTAAGTTGAAAACACAACGTGTATTTTCTTACCATAAAACTGGAGGCATTTTCATGCCTATTGCTTTAATGAAGTTATATATATGAGTTCCTAAGTCTATTGCACTATTGGCTCATGAAAGTTAAGATATCTTCTGAGTTTATAATGAATACTATGTGTTTGCAGGTATGATACAATTCATGGAGAGGACAAAAGTACAGTATAAAACATCTATCTAGGAGTTTTCACCATCAGACACATAAAACAGTAGCAAAAATTATGAGACATACAGTTTTGACAAACACAATAAACATTTGATGAATGAATGTTAAGTTGTATGATGTTTCACGGATAATAGGTCAGACAGCTAGCTACAGAAGTAGGAAAAAAGTATCATTTGGAAACTAGACAACTGAAAGTAATAGGGGTTTTTGGTTCGTTGGTTGGTTGGTTGGTTGGTTGGTTGGTTGGTTTGTACCCAAATTATATAATGGTCACTGAGCAAGTTTTGTAAGAACTTTAAAAATGATGGGAGCAGGATACAAACAAAACAAAAAAATACTTAATTAGAAGATAGGGGAAAGAAAGGCTTGTATCTCTTAAAACTAATTGCTCACAGCATGATTGGGGAGTGGGCAGTTGTTACCATTAACTCTAGTTCTGTGTATTTTACTAATGATTAAAAAGTTATTGTGAGGGTACCTTATTAGCATATACCTTACATGTCACCAAATTACTGATTTATCCTTTATTTGTTCTGGCCAGTAAATATTTGAATTTAAAAGCAGATTTTTAAATAATAATACACTTCAAGCAGGTTTTTCCTCGTGCATTAGAAAGGGTTATAATCTGTTTGCCCTCAGATTTAGTTATAATTTTTTGATGTATCACCAGTTCTAATCTCCTGATATTATGCCTTTAAGAATAATTGCTAGAAAAAGTTTTAAGATGAAATAAGGAAAGACAAATGGTAATGGTTTCCAGTTGACTTAGTTCAATATTATAAAATTCCACTCAACTGTTGTGCTGAGTCACAACAACCACATTGAACAGAGCACCACTGCTCCATAGGGATTTCCAAGGAGCAGGTGATTGACGAGCAGCCCAACACACAAGGATTAGAAATTTGTAGTAGTTCATATGGAGCTTTTTTATAATGTTATTATGTATCTGCATTTTTGAGATAATAGTTATAGCTGAAAGCCCACTTGGCCTATTTGTGATTGTAGAGAGAGAAGGCGAAGGAGGAGCAGGAGTGGAACAAGGTCTCCTAAGAAGCCCAGGTCTCCTAAAAGAAAGTTATCTCGCTCACCATCCCCTAGGAGGTAAGAACAATGTTAACCATTCAGATAAAACTTTTCATTTCTCAGAAGTTGTTGGTTTGTAGTTTTAAAACTGTCCTACAGCTTTTCTACATTAAAGTGCTTAAAATTATATTATGATTTGAGACATTGCAAGATCTTGCCTGTATTTCTTCAGCATAGTTCATACCTCTGTTGTCCTGTTATTTTGAAATTTCATCTTTGCTATCCTGCTTATATCATGTAAAAACATGGGTCTGTATTTCTAAACAACTTTAAAACATTTTCAGCTTTAAGGATGAAACCTATTGAGAGGAGTTTTTTTAAAGCATCTGTTTTGAACACATTCTTCTGTTCCAGACATAAAAAGGAGAAGAAGAAAGACAAAGAAAGAAGTAGAGATGAAAGAGAACGATCAACAAGCAAGAAGAAGAAGAGTAAAGATAAGGAGAAAGAACGGGAAAGAAAATCAGAGAGTGACAAAGATGTAAAAGTATGTTTACAAACTAATTCACTGTGGTATTTAGGGTGAGTGCATATTTGTAAGAAGCCACTTTTCTTTGAAGAAGTTTACGTTGTTTATTTTCCTTGGCAAAGCAGGTTACACGAGATTACGATGAAGAGGAACAGGGCTATGACAGCGAGAAAGAGAAAAAAGAAGAAAAGAAGCCAATGGAAGCAGGTTCCCCTAAAACAAAGGAATGTTCTGTGGAAAAGGGAACTGGAGATTTACTCAGAGAATCCAAAGTAAATGGAGATGATCATCATGAAGAAGACATGGATATGAGTGACTGAATATTGCCTCTACAGGTATTCTAACTGTATACATGCATCAGTGTCATTCCTTTGTGTGATTTCTTCATGCTGTATTTGTTCATCTCAAATCTAGATGTATACAGCTCTGAGTTATAAAATGGTTATATAAAGCTCCTGATAATGATATTAGTTACTTACATCAAAAGCTTTTAGAAAATGGTACATGGTAACCAATTCTTGTCATGGTGAAATCTGATTGCGTAAACAGCAGTTTTCTATTCTGGTGCTGCTTCGTAATAAAAATGAAAAGCTGCATGCATCTACAGCAGGCATGGATTGTTTATGTTGTATGATCTCCTTTATTAAGTAAGTTCACTTATAGTATTTCTAGAATTTGATTCATTGCCGTAATACAGCCATGTAGGGAATGCACTGATTGCATGTTAATTGTGGCAGGAATATTCTAAATGTCATTAAAACCCTTCAACATAATGGATCTATTTAGGGTCTTGTTTGTTGACTCAACAAATTAACATTCTTACAGTTACATCTGAAAATGAACATTTGAAATAGATAATCCTTTTAAGCCTTGTGGCTAAATTTTTGTGGCTTTTGTTTAACTTTGAAAGGTATATATATATATATGTATATATATACACTAACGTTTTTGATCGCTGATTAGACTTTAATTACAGAAACAGAAGATTTCAAATAAAACTTTGGCAGTGAGTAGCAGCATACTTTGAAAAAGCATTGTATACTTTTTCATAAGGTATTTGGGATTTGGTTGTTGTTGTTTTTTTCCCTGAAATAATTTATTTCCATATCAACATCAATGAAAGCTTTCTGCCTGGAAATCCATTTGTAAAAGAGAGTTCTATCTTGTCCTGATTTTCAGTTTTTCCACTCTTAACTAAATTTGTTTTAAGCTCACTGTTAGAAAAAGGGGAAAGTGCATTTTAAATTGACCTTCTTCGTATGCTTTTAAAATAAGACAAATCAACTTGATAATGTACTTTTGATCTCAAGTTGTATAAAACCAATAAATTTGTGTTACTGTTACTACAGTAGTATTGTTATGCACAGTGATTTCATGTTATATGCAAAGTAGTTAGGCAACTGTTTTCTTAGTTACAGGAGTTTACGCTTCACTTTTGTGCAGTCAAAGCAAAAGTAGGCTACAGTCTGTGCCATGTTGATGTACAGTTTCTGAAATTGTTTTACAAGGACTTTGATAATAAAACCCTTAAACTTATATGTGTTTCTGTAAACCTGTACTTGTATTTATTTACTCTCTGAATGTATGACATTACCTCATTCAGTTTTCTTTGCTCTTTCTATCCATATATAAATGTGGTATCAAGATAAAATCCATCACTGTAGTGATTAGTTGCCATCAAGAGTGTCAAAGTTGATTTCATTTCTTTCTTTAACACTTTTTCTCATAGTGCAATTTTATTTCATGTTAGGTGTGGGAATGTGGCTGAATGAAGTGATAGACTTCGGGATAAATAAGTGACCCCCACCTGTATCTTAGTAAATTTATATTTTCATTGAAGTATGTTTTTGGAATAGTATTGAAGCTGTCAACAGTATGTATATACTGTAAACTACTCAATAGTATATTTATTCATGTATGCAATTAATAGTGTTTGGATATCTGGGATTGAGGGGGAAAGACTTGGAAACATGTCGCTTTTATCCAAGCTTGAGCTTTTTTTCTTTTTCTTTTTCTTTTTTTAAACTTTCAAAAATCAAAATGCCACGTGGGAAAGCAACAGTGTTTTTACAGTTTATAGTAACTTTTTAGAGATTTTTATCAAAATGAATTTTGTCTATATAAGATGTTACAGTAATAGTCCTAATAATCATTACTGCATTTAAAAATGAAGTTGAGTGCAATTGACATTTACTTGAATTTAAAGATATTTTCTAGTAGATAATAACGTTGAACCATATATATCATTTTTATAACTCAGAAGCCAAATATTGGCAATTTTGTGTGGTTAAACCTAATATTACTCATTCCATTACCATATCTGACTACAGTTATACTATTTAAAAAGAACTGAGAAGCTGGCTATAAAACAACATTTTTCTAACCAAAGGTAGGGCTGTATTGAAACACCAGCCTTTAACACAGAAAAACAGTTCAAATCAAATGAACACTGCCTCCACACTGAGTTTTGTGCTTTGTATTTGGTAGTAAAATGATTTAAAAATAAAGGTTTTATTAGAAAAATGTTTGCCCTATTTGTTTTCTTAAATGCTTCAAGAATGAGAGGTGGTGGCTATATAACAAGCCTATTTAATTTGGAAGTGAAGAGTGTGATTTATTTATAGCTGAGAGACCTATTATCTTAAGTTTTCTTTGTGTAAAATGCAAGTGAAGACCTACCTTACGATTTGGTAGTTAAGAAGAAAATTTGACCAATGCCTGAATCTGTAAACGATAGCTGCTATTTGATTATGGGACTTTTTAAAACTAATAATAGATTGTGGATAATGTTAAAAGCAGTACAGTATGTGTGTGATTAAGCTTTTGAGAAAGCTAATGTTGCCTTATGAAGTCCTGGTGTGATGCTGTAGGGTAAGCATTGGAGTACTAACCACCAGGACAGTAATTCAAATCCATCAGCCACTCCCTGGAAACATAATAGAGGGTGACTGTGAGTCACAATAGATTTAAAGGCACTTAATGATAACTTGGCATAATTTTCTACTGGTAAATTATATCTTTAAGAGCATAGCAACATGGAAAGGTAAGCACTTAAGGTAGGAAAACTAGACTACTATTACAAAAGCAAAAACAACTTCAACCTGGATTGGAGTTATACCTTACAATTGTTGTTAAGTGCCATTGAGTTGATTCTGACCCATAGCGACCCAGGTTTTAATGTATCATACTCAGTCTTCAATATACCACTCTTACCACTTTCTTCCTTAGTTGGGCACCAGATAAAATGTTTAGTGTCCATTGTCTTTGAAGGTTATTTTTTGAACTGGAATTGAGACCTCTGTTCCTTGATGTATATCAAATCTGACTATATTATCCCTGTTCTATTTTAAATGTTTTTCTAAATGTAGTTGTTAAATGTGAATGTAATGGAATTTTAAACTGTACTTGTTTTATGATCAGAATATCTCTACTACCAAAGCTTTATTGGGAGCACAGTACCTCTGTAGGATAAGCACTAGTTGCTAACCACAAGGTTGGAGGTTCAAGCCCACTCACTGTTCTACAGGAGAAAGATGAGGCTTTCTGCTCCTGTAAAGGTTGACACTACAGTCACTATGATTTGAAAACGACTCATCAACACTGAACAAGTAGATACAGTCACTGTTTCGTTACATGAGATGAATTCTGAAGTTTTGTAGATATATGACTCTGGTAATAAACATTCTTTAAAATAGCCAATACAATTCTGTCCTTGATAAATGAGGTAGTGACACATATGAATTCCTTTTCAAAAACCTTTTATTTTTAGTTTCCCAATGTATAGTCATTAAAATTAGCATCATGATTCCTTCCCTGCCCCCTCTTTTATTTGCTAGTTCAGTAAAAGTACTGGTATTTGTCTGCAAGATATTTAAGATGGGATCACAAATAAATGGAATGTTCCGAAGGATGTTTAATATTGTTCAATTACTCCAAGATGTAATTAGTAAAAACATTTTCTAATATCCTAAGTGATAATCAGATGAGCTTTCTGCAAAATCATGTTCACTTTCAATGATACTACTAAGTAAAACTTTTTCATTCACTATGAACAAGGTGACAAATTTAGGTTTACATAAATGCTAAGTTTTGGAAGACAAGCATGCAGATTACGAATATTCTTGAAACAAAATTGGTATTCAGTCAATGTTTTGATCAGAGAAGCAGATCCACTAAGAGAAATTAATTGTAAGAGCTAGTTAAGCATTCTGCATCTGAAGTTGAAACTTCCACAGGCAGTCTGGAAGGAAAAGTGTATGATTGGTGGGAGAGAACAATAAACTAGAACCCACAAGGATGGACTGAAATGTGTGGGTCAGTTCTTGCTACTTTATGCCCTTCTACTTTATGCCCTTGGTGGGCTGGGGTCCTTCAACATGGATCTAAGCACACGTAGCCAGAATAGTAAGCTGAAGGAGGTTCCAAGGTTTAGAGTAATTGCAGGCCCCGCTGCTGCTTAATACCAATGAGGTGTGAGGCACCAGCAGATAAACCACAATGTATATGAGCTACAAAATGGGAGCTTCTGCATCATTCTGCCTTCCAGACTCCTGTCAGTTCCCACTCAGTATAGGTTTCTGGGAGTTGGTTTGTACTACCAACCTTACATTGCAGTTCGTCAGCCATTGCTTATCCCACAGCACCATACCAGGATTCTTCCAAACTCCTATACTCATATTCATAATTTGTCCCTGTACAACATCACTTCCTTTTTAGTGACCAAGAACTTTTTCAATTATGGGAGGTATGCTACACAGAATTTCTACTTTCCAGTAAAATCATGATTGAAAACCCTTAAAAGATTCTGCTTCAGGTGCTGTGGTAAAAGGGAAATTATAATTCTTTGTGCCTTGGGTACCATTGTAAATAAATAAAAACTCATTTTAAAAATTTATTTGCTGATAAAATGATCCCAATGGTCAGAGTAGAACTGTACTCCATAAGGTTTTCAGTAGCTCATTTTTTTTAGGATTGCCAGGCCTTTTTTCCAAGGCACCCCAAAAGTCCCAATCTTACACTTAATCCAAATAATGATTAACTTGCACTACCCAGAAACTCTGAGCAAAGGTCAGTATTTTATAATAATATTTAACTCCATTATGTTCATTGCCTCAAAATGGAATCTTTGCTCTAAACAAAAATTTGATAAATTGATCCCCAACTCACAGTGATCTTACATAGGGTTTCTAAGACTAAATCTGGGAGCAGAAAGCCTCATCTGTACCCAGCAGAAGAGCAGTTAAGAGCCCAACACTTGTCGCACAGTTCCACCAGGACTCCTTTGCAAAAACTACAGAGCAGGCCATCTAAACAATCGTTAAGTGCTGTTGAGTCCATTTTGACCCACAGTAACCCAGTATAGGGTTTCCAAGGAGCAGCTGGTGAGCTTGAACCACCAACTTTACAGTTCAAAAAGCTTTGCAATCTTGGCACATTAACTAACAGCACCACACCAGACCCAGGCCTTCATTATTACCTTGAGAAACAAGGTTGTTAGCCCTGTGTGTGACAGATTTTGAAATGTATCAATTATACCATCATCATAATCAGGACATCTTGAGCATTTCCAAATTGCCATTAAAGGTGACCATCCAATGGTCCACTTGTTAAAATGTGGAAGATGTAGAATGACACTACAAAATTTTTATGTACGATTACCTAAATATATGGTCTGATCATTTGCAGCAAAGGTTTAGTTTCATTAACTGGATTAAAAGGCACAGTTTGAACTATCTCATATTGTGTAAAGCTTCTTGTTGACGCCATATGTTTACTGACATTTGCTTGTCCATTGTGATCAGAGAAAAGACATTTTGGATGGATAATATTTCTGCTATTCTTTAAGAAAGTATAATACTTAAAATCCAAGTACAAAGGTTTTTTGCCGTCTTCGTTCTTCCACTGTACCACAGCAGAAAAGTGATCACAGCTTTTGTTAAGTGCCATCAAGTCGGTTCCGACCCACTGCAAACCTGTATAGCAAGCAGCTGGTGCACTTGTCAGTTCAAACCATAGCACTATACCAAAAGGAAGCCTTAAATAAAGCCCAAGCTGCAAGTAACCATGTTTTTTCTCCTCTAGGTGTCAGCACTTAAGAAACACTCTACAGTACATTCTAGAAATTTATTTCTCTACTAGCCACAAAGGAAGGGGAGAGCCAAAGATCAACTGTGACCATTGCCTTTGAGTATCTCAAACTTCAAAGAACCATTGAAAACAATCTGTGTGACTCATTTGATATAACAACCATTCCCAAAATAATCAGCTTACTGTTCAATAAAGCTGGTCTGAGTTTACCAGGCTTTCATTTTTTAAACTAAGATTATTTTCCTTCATTATAAAATATATTTGATAAAATGTCAACATAAGCAATGTAGCATGTCTAGAATCAGTTTATTATTAAATAAATAATTTCTTAAATAAAAGTCTCTAAACCCACTTCAAATACTCTAAAATTCTGGGAAAACTTTAAACTACTGGTCACTAAAAATCTTGACAGGCATTCTGTAATGCATCATAATACGTATTTTAAACTCTTTTAATATAACCTGA